GGAGCTACTGTTAGTTATTCTATTTCGTTGTCAAAAGAGTAATTTGTGATTGAAATAGATATAAAATTGTCGACTAAAAATGAGAGTTAATTGAGCGCAATTAGTTATCAGACTTGTGCACTCTTGCTATATAAAGTAACAAGAAGCATACATTATAATGTATATCTTGATAGCTAAAAAAATTGTTTGGTATAATGCCACGCATTTTATGCAATGTGGTTTAACCGCAAGTGTATGGTGTCAAGTTTTGCAATATAGTGTTGAAGTAAGAGTGTTGAACTCACAGGAATTGTATTTAATTTTCACTAAGTACTATAATTATGCAATTTCTACTTTATTTAGATGAATGTATGATTGAATTGATGTTCTATGAATGAACGATTTAAACTAAACTAACGTGATTGGATGTAACAATTTTGGGGAATACAAATTATCAAATGAGAAGGCCTAAGGATTGATTTCACCTAACTTTCAATTATGATTCAACGAATTCAAATTATTCCAATTAATTTTCCCATATTTAAAAGCAAGAATCTTAATGTATTTCTAACCCCCTCTCTCGAGCACCGATTAGAAATTAACCTTAGATCCCAATTCTAACATCTCTGTTCAAAATTGAAAATCAAGAATTTAATAAAGATCCGATTCTTTTATGGAGTAAGCTTCACAGATTTATAATTTCTCTCAAAACCTATAAATTCTATGTTGTATCACTCTTATGATCACGCCTAAATTCCCACTCTCTCGAGCACCGGAATTGACTACCATCAAATCATCCAATTATTCATCAGGCAATTGAAAGCATTAAAATCATGATACAATTAAATATATACAGGAAAATCAAATAAATAATTATAAAATCATCAAATCATAATCTTGATTCGGCTACATCAACCCCCTAGATAAATTGTTTAATTCATGGTATAATAAATAAAAATCATAGGAATTATAATAAACAACATAAAGAAAATAATAGAAAAAACTAGTCTTTTGGGTAGATCTTCAATCTTCTTCCTTGATGTTGTTCCTCCTTCCTTTTGATATCTTCAATTTTTTGCCTCCTTCAAATTGTGTGGTTGAATTTTTCAATCTTGTCCCCCTTCCATCCTTCCTAAAAATAGGGTTTTTGAATGATATTTATAGTATGTTAGGGGGTTTTGGACGAAATAGGGTTGAGTTGGGGCAAGAAAAGATTCCAAAAATATAAAATCCTGTTTTTCCGCACAGGCGGCGCCTCGACGCCCAAGATGGGCACTGCTGTGCCGCGTTCACTGTTGTTTTCAACATCTTGGGCGCTGCGGTGCCCAATATGGGCGCCACGACGCCCACTTGAGGTGGAAAATGCAGTTTTCGTCTCTCTCAATATTTTTGTCATAACTTTTTCATCCGATATCCGATTGAGATGATTCAAGATGCGTTGAAAAGCTAACTCAAAGAGATATAACTTTTATTCAAACATAATTTTCCAATTCAATCATTTGCTATGTCAGAAATGGGTCTCAATATGAGGCTGAAATTCTGAAGCATAACTTTTCGATTGGAAATTGATTTGTAATCACATTTTGTCTAAATTTGATCCATTTGACATCTTTCCTCATCCAATTGACTCTTAACACTCTCGGATCTTCATGGCAAGGTTCGATACAAGTATGGATTATTTACATTTTAGTCCCTGAACTTTTGATCTTTTACAATTTGGCCCATTCTCTCCAATTTTGCCAACTTTTGCTTAATTCCTCCAATTTCATCAATCTACATCACAATATCAAAACACACATTAAAATGTTCTAAAACACTCTCAAGACTAGCAAAATAACAAATTAGGTGGCATGAATATCACGAGTGTAGAACACTCGTCAAATACCCCCAAACTTAATATTTTGCTTGTCCTCGAGCAAACACAAACTAAAGAGAATAACAAACAAACACAAAAACTCAATTAAAGCACACGAGATCACTTAAAATTTAAAAACACATTGTGCTAGATACTTTGCCTTCATAGCTCAGGATTGAAAACATAGTGTCAAATTCACGAATCACTTCAAAGCTATAATGCACAAGCTAAATTCCCACTTACTCAATGCAAAACGGGTGTGTGTGTGGAGAGAGTTAAGTGCAACGCTGTACAATAGTAAATTGATCCAATTCTCAACCTTAAAAGTCAACTATTTCCTTACTCCACTCATAATAATCGCAAACCCCTAAACTTATTTTCTTCTCACTTTCCACATGGTGTGATCTATGGTTAATTTCTCAATATTAATTTCTTACACCGCTCAAATTTAGTTAGATTTTACTGATTGTAGTTTAGCGTGTCCATAAATGAAGATTCTCCTATTTTTGACTGCTTCAACCCCTAGGAATCAACTAAGTTACTAACCCCTCATCAAAAGGTTAATCCTCTCAAACAAGTGTTTAGGGCTTAATAAATGCACGTGATGTCCATGTTTTCCTATACAAATTTATTCTTTAATCATTCTTTGTGCGGATGTCTCTACATTAAGTTTTCTAAATGACCCCTGTAGCGACATTTAGGCCGATGACACCCAAATCAGACGACTTTATGGCATCAAGTTTTAAACACTTACAGGCTTAATCACTCGAGTCATAAAGGTTACGAAGAGACGATTCACAATGAGATAATTATGATTGTCCTCATTGGGATCTTCTTTTTTTTCTTTTTTTTTTTTTTTAACAATGATTAGTGCAATGCCCCTTATCAAACACTTATTCTTGAAAATTGACCTCTAACTCAAGGTTTTCACTCAATTTTCATCCTATTAATCTCAGACATCCACACAAAAAATTAGCACACACGGAATCCACATTTATCTCCAAGTTTCCCTACAACAGTACAATCATCCAGCCATCCTATGTTTGATTTAAGGGTATAATAATATTTAAAGGTTGTTTGGGTTTAGTATCTAAGTCCTCTAATCCAACCTATAAATATGTATCAACCTACTCATGTATAACGCCACAATCAACTCATGTGCATAAATATTTTTCGTTTCACACAGATAAGCAAAAATTTAACTCGAACACAACTTATTCATAATCTATAAACCGATGCATGTTCTCAATTACACATATCAACGTTGACAAAGCTATCTAACTCACACAAGCATGCAAAATGCGAATTTTTTTATTTGTTTTTTTTTTTAATTTTTAAACATGCACACAATTAATTAAGAAATAAAAAAAATGCACACGAACAAATAGAAATAAAAATTTTGCACACAAAATCACACAAAAAAGGCAATAATAAAAAAAATAAAAAAATAAAGGCAATTAGACAATTTAAATACTCCCCCAAATTTAAACTAAATATTGTCCTCAATGTTAAATTAAAAGAAATAGAAGGACTTTCCTAAATTGTTTGAATTGCCAACAACGGTTTGGTGCTCTGATGTTGAATTTATAGGCGCTTCTTCTCGCTTTTCCCCCAAACTTGTGATTTATCCAATTTCTCCTCGTCAAAGTTGGCATGATTGTTCTACGACGTCATGTTCTTGAAAAATCAAATTTTAGATATTAAATACATGGAACAAGTGTTACTTAACTCAAATATCTAATAACCAACTTGACTACTTATAAATCTAAGGGAAGACGGGGATATGGTTGATGAATTCTTAAATAAAAAACTGTAAAATAACTTAAACTATCCTATTAATCAAAAACAGAAAAATAAATAAAAATAAATTGCTTGGGTTGCCTCCCAAGAAGCGTTCGTTTATAGTCATTAGTTTGACTTTGGCAATTGTATCATGGAACTTTGAATAAGGCTTTGGAAGCCTTGTCTATTTTTCTTCTTTTGGCTTTGCTCTCGTTATTGTCATTTTCAATGTAATAGGATCTTTTCATGCCATCCAATTCAAACTCAACAATGTAGACTTCAATCTCTTCGCCAGACTTAATCACAAATTCATTTCCATATAATCAATGAATTTGGATGAATGGATGTAGTTTTCATCTTCATTGATTTCTACATCTTTGTTTAGTTCCTTTGTGATCAAGTTGTCATTCACTTCAGGCTCTTCTGCGATTGTTGAAATTTTTTTTGATTGATTGATTAATCCACATTCAAAATCCACAGACAACGAGGAATCTTTCTTTTCAACCCCTTCAAGTGGATTGTATTTCCACCTTTTGAATTCACTCCAATAACTCCAATCTCCAACAGATATATTGCACTCTTCCAAATTGGCAAGTTTAGTGTAATACTTTGCAATTACCCTCTCATTCAACAGAGGAAGACCATTTCCCATAAGTGTGATGTCCTCATCCCAATCGACAGGTCCATAATCTCCCAAAGGCATGTAGTCTTTATCAGATTTGTCAATCGCTTCTTTTTGATATCTTAAATAATGTATAAACCTTAGAACCTTTACTGTATGGGGGTTGGAAGGTGTACGCTAACAGTGCTCAGTGTAATGCATCCCATAGCAGATTTGATAGTAGATATTTTCAACAAACATATTGTTTGTACCCATGTCGAGATTACTTATTTTTGTTGCTATGTTCTTTTGCCAATGTTGGAACCATGCATATGCTATTAGTAGTTCTTGGAAAAATATCGAAAAGATCAAGGTGGGTAACAAAAATTAATAAATAAATAAATAAAATCTAAATTAAAATAGAAATGACTTGGTTGTGCTACTACCTTATTATGCCCACGAACCAGGCTTGTTTTGCAAAAAATTCAGCAACATTTAATGCCTGTTTTGGTGATGTTAATCCATTACGCCGTTCGCGTAGATAAGGCGAGATGACCGACGGCAGTGGGCGGCCATGAGTGTCGCCAAAAGTGGTGGAATTGATTTGTATAAGGCGCAAAAAATTGGGGTTGTTTTCTACCAATTTTTATCTCTAAATTGGATGTTTGGATTGGTTGTTTGTTGAATTGTGCTGTACGTAAAAATAGAGATGAAATGTTTCAAAAAAAAATGTGAGGACGTTTTGTGCTAATTATTTTGAGTTTTTTCTACAAATATTATGATCCGTCTTAGCCCTCTTTTTTTTTTTTTTTTTTTTTTACCCCTCTTTTGGCCTTTTTTTGTGATTTATTATTACCCTACGATTACGCGAAATATGTCAGTTCGTGGTATAAAAGCTACGAGATTGGATTCCTTCTCACGCTAAACTGAAAAATTAGGGTTGTGTCAGCAGCATTTGGGACTTGCAAAGAGGTAATCTTTACGTGTTTCCTAATTGTACGGGACATTCCACGTTAATCTTCGTTATTTATTTGGTAACGAATCGGTCGTAAGATTTTGTTTTTATTTTTATTACATGCTCTCTGGTATTGTGAAATGATCTATTTAGAGGCTAGATTTTATTCTAATTTTTATTTATGTTTTTAATTTTCAATTGGTGTAATTATTTTTATTTATTTTAGGCGTTCAAGTTTTTTATTTTTTAAATTATTATCGCAATTTTTCTCTACCTTGATTCGCTGCGTCTTGCAATTAGGGAAATTGAATGGTCTGCCCTCCTTTCTGACTATTTTAATCTTTGTTATTTTCGAGTCTTCAACTTTTATGGAACCGGTGCAGTTTTATTAGATATAAAAGAATTTAACGTTTTCGTCTTTGCTCTTTTTGGACAATTCTATTATAAATAGGATTTCTAGTTGTAATTTTTATCTTTTCTTTCTTGTTTAGAATAGAATTTCTTCTTCTTTTTTGTTGAGAATGCGATTTCTTTATTTTTTTTCTTGATTAGAATAGGATGATTCTTTCCTGAGAAGATAGGATTCCCCTTCTATTCCTTTTTGGATTATTATTACTTTAGTCATTAGGTTTAGGGAACTAATTTTTCAATTTAAGAAAATCTTTGTACACTTTTTCAATCACCCATTTTTCAATACAATAAAATTACTTTCTACAAATTTTTGAGTTTTTCAACTTTATTCTTGTTTCAAGAATTTCATTTTCGCTTGCATGCCACTTTTCTCTTCCCTTCCTTTTTGTTTTATGAGCCTTGTCTATTTTATCGTTTCTCGTATGGGGATTGCATTTATATACACTAGAAGCACGGTAAAAATGTTAGATCTCTAGCCAACAAATATCCAAAATAATAGAGCACTACTTAAATGACCATGCTCTTTTTAGTTGCTCTTTTTAGTATAGTTTGTTTACTTCTTATTTGGTCACATCTAACCTTAGTTGTACTTCTGTCGAAGAGAAAAGGGTTTTGTTGTGCTGCATCATTATTGCTTCCTGATGTATGGTAGTTGTAGTCATACGTCTTTATATACGACATACACTGGATTATGATATTTACTTTTTATCTCATTAATCAATTGAAGTCATTTTTATTTCTGTCATTGCTCTAGTTCTTGACTTTAAATTTGATATTGCAGATAAAAATGCCTCGTTATGATGATCGATATGGCAGCAACACTCGCCTCTATGTTGGTCACTTATCTTCAAGGACTCGTTCCCGTGATTTGGAGTATGTCTTCAGTAAATATGGAAGGTAGTTAAATATTGTGGCCTTCTATGTGGTAGTTCAATATTGTGGCAATGCAGTTATTTCTTGTATTTTTCATTTTGCTACTTTCTGGAAGATTGGGATGATGGGGACATAATTGCTACAAAATGAACCTATTAGGACGTATCTAATTGTCACAGGAACCTTGTCTTCTCTTCCTCCGAGAACTAAAATTTCCTCTTCAAAGTTGCGTATATGGTGTTATCAGTTATGTGATGGTATTCGTGATTTTTTTTCACCCTTTCTATATATAATTCTTTCCTCTATTTTGGTTTCTACATCAGAAGTTTGTCACTGTGAGGGGTTTGATTCTACTTATCTATCTATAAGTGAGAATGCTGTTTCTTTCTGAGCACAATTCTTGCTCAGGCGCATTTTTGTAATCATGTTATTTGTGAAGGGAAAATGTGTTGTAGGTGCCTCTGAGTTTAACTCGAATGATTCTGTTGAAGGTTTCTGAGCCTTTACCTAACATGGTGGTCAATGGTGAGAGGGTGGACTTGATGGGATTTCTTGCCGATTGTTAGGAGCCTTTGGCGATTGTTTCTCTATTGTCTTTGCATTATTTTATGGAATTTGCAACAATCAATGGTGTTTAGTTCATCTTGAAGACCAACTTTCATGCAATCCCAGTGCATAGTAAGTTATGATGGCCTTACTGTTTCTGGCAACCATTTCCGCAGAGTACGAGATGTGGATATGAAGCGAGATTATGCATTCGTGGTATGTATCATCACTAATTTTCTTTATTAGGATTGTTATCAAGTATCTTAATATTCTTCATCTTATCCATTTAAATTACGAAATTGTGTTTCCTGTGTTTGGCTTTTGTCTCTACCCTATTTTATAGGAATTCAGTGATCCAAGAGACGCTGATGATGCTAGATATTACTTGGATGGAAGAGATGTTGATGGGAGTCGCATTACTGTGGAATTTGCAAAAGGGGTATGTAAATTTGTGTTTTTTTAAATTTATTTGAACTTTATGATTTGATTTGGTGGGTTTTGGATGAATATTACCTTTTTAGCACTTTATGCTGCCCCTCTGCAGTACTTTCCCGTGGTTTTTCTTTTTATGTATATTCACACATCTAATGTTGCATCATGCGGGTGTAGGTACCATGTGGACCTGGAGGGGTTCGAGAGTATGTTGGCAGGGGTCCTGCTCCTGGTGCTGGACGCTGCTTTAACTGCGGTCTTGATGGCCACTGGGCCCGAGATTGCAAGGCTGGAGACTGGAAGAATAAGTGTTATCGCTGTGGGGAAAGAGGCCACATTGAAAGGAACTGCCAGAACAGTCCTCAGAAGCTCAAGTACTTCTTTGTTAGCCTATAGTAAAGCTTTCAATTTTACATGTCTTGGTTGCACAAGTTGTTTCTTTGACTTAGGCCTTGTTTGAGCCACATTATTTGAAAAAAAATACATTTTTCAGCAGTGATTTGATATCATTTCAACCACACATTCTTTAATAAAATAATATTACACGCAAATCCAAAATTTTTCCTTATTTTTTAACTACACATTTCCCATCAATATACTATTCAAAAATACATTTTCATTCAAATAATATGGCTCAAACAAGGGCTTAATTCAATCTGCCTACACTTATTGATGAAGCTGTCGTTTCCTTCTTATCTGGGCATGTTCAGTTTTTTGTTAATTTGATTTGTTCATGTTTATAGAAGAGATCGGAGCTACTCACATTCGCCAGTCAGATCACGTTCTACTCGCGGTGGCAGGAATAGGAGTCCAAGTTTCAGCCGAAGTCGTAGCTACAGGTTAGTTTTGTTTCTTCGATATAGTTTTAAAAACCAACATGAGAAAAGTTTCGGGAAATATTTTTCAATGATTTAGTATTCTGAATATTTCAACTGCAGACATTTATCTTTTCCTTGGTTTTGTATTTATATTTGCTAGTGATTTAGTACTCTGAAGATTTCAACTTTTGACATTTATATGTTCCTTGGTGTTGTATTTATGTTTTCCAGCCAGTCGAGGTCCCCTCCCAGAAGAGGGAAAATTGTTGAGTACGAAGAAAGGAGATCGAGGAGTCCAGGCATCAGCAGAAGTCCCTTGCTAAACAGTGGCACTCCTCCCTCCAAAACAAGGAAGCGCAGCCCAACACCTGATGGAGACAGCCCTAGAGAAAGAGGAAGTCCCTTTCTCATCAGAGAGGAAATAATGTCTGAGCAAAATAGGTACAGTCAAAGTCCCAAGGAATCGAGCCGAAGTCCTGCTAGTCCTGAAAGGGAAAGCCCTG